TAGTGTTCTGAAATCGCATTACAAACGCGGTTGCTCAGGGGTACGTAAATATCTGCGTACCTATTTCATATTTATCTGTATTGCCCTCCAAGACAGCGGTTCGTATTAATACCGTCTATAAATAAAGTCGAAAATACAGTGAAGATCGATCGATAGATCGATTTTAGCAGAGAGGAAGAACCAGATCGATATTTTTTTTCTTCCGTCTCGATACGGAGAGATTTTCAGCTTCGAAAGATGCGAAGTGCCTCGTAATATATTCGAGTGTCTCTATTACATATATATATATATATATATATATATATATATATATATATATATATATATATATTTCAGTAAGCATCAGCTCGTCCTGAAAATATTTGCTCACTTTTTCATAATCATGCCTCATGCACATGAATAAAGATGATTGTCTTTTCACGATTGAAGGATTTGAAATGTGCTAGATTAGCCTCTCAGAGAAAGATGGACGAATTTCTTTAACACGAAGAGCCACTCAAGTCAGAGACTTACTGAGTTTGGTCGTTTTATGGACGTAAGAGAAGAGCAGGCAAGAAGTGCATATACTAAAGTTATGTTGAAGCGGTAATGGCTGTTACGATTGAAGCAGAAAGCAGTAAATTGGTGGAAGAAGCCGTATGAATCGAACTTCTTTCTTATCGATGGAAACCGAAAGAAAGAACGATGGCTTATCTCTGTGTGCATTGTTTAATTTGATTTTTTTTTTAAGACTTATCAACCGTTTGCATGTTATTTATAACCAGAAAATAATTTCAGAACTTCTTGGGGATAATAATAGTTTTACGCGTACAAATTTTAGTTATTAACTCAAAGCTTGGAGGGAAGAGGTGGGTTCATGTCTTTCCCAAGGTTATTTGCGCGTAAGTGAATATAACGAATTCGACTGGGATTCGAACACGGATCTCCGATTTCAAATCCTGTGCCGTTATTACACCGCACGCTTACAGCATCTGACATTCAAGTGGTCACCCTTATATTGACCATGTTCGATATTAATACGAATTAGGGAAAAAAAAAATGGCACCAGTGTAGTCCTCAAATTTCAATAACTTAATTATGTTTTAAACATGATATTTCTGCCTAAATTTATCACATGATGAGTTATTATTATTATTATTATTATTATTATTATTATTATTTACATACGGGCTATTTTCCTCTTCTTTGTTACCGATCCATCCGGAATTTGAAATGGACATTTTATTTATTCTACGAGTGTAGATTGTTTTTCGTTCCACTGCCTATGTCTGGGGATATCTAATTTTTTAATTTACGTATTGTTCGCCCTGTTTCCACCGAGTACAGACGACCCGGTCCAGGGATTGAACTCGTAATTTACTGTTTACAAGGGATGTAAGTGGCACAAGGCCGAGTTTAAAGTGGGTTCTCCGAGACCGTAGGCTCGGCCAAAAATATTCCCTTAGAACCCGTATAAACGGGTTCGGAGCCTGTCTACCTTCCCCGGACGAAACTTTGCCCTTCGGCACAGCCTCGTCCGGATTCGTCTCTGCTCAAGAGAGAGAGAGAGAGAGAGAGTTCGGTCCAGGGATTGAACTCGTAATTTACTGTTTACGAAGGATGTAAGTGGCACAAGGCCGAGTTTAAAGTGGGTTTCTCCGAGCCCGTAGGCTCAGCCGAAAATATTCCCTTAGAACCCGTATAAACGGGTTCGGAGCCTGTCTACCTTCCCGGACGAAAATTTGTCCTTCGGCAAAGCCTCGTCCGGGTTCGTCTCTGCTCAAGACAGAGAGTTCGACAATTGAACAATCTGTTCGACTGTTCCCTTGCAGTTAGCGTGGCATCAAATTCACGAAATAACACTTCAGTCCACTAAGTTTCAAACACTTCTGTCTAGAGAACTTGGAACCATAAACCTAACCTGCCTGCTGGTGGGAATCCGCGTCCTGGGGAAGACGATAAACTATATCCGACAGCAAGGTCCCTGATCAGGAGGTTTTGAGGAGCGTGGAACCACCTCTTAATTGCTGATATTCCCAGGTCCAAACTGACCCAGGGTGGTAGCACCTGTTAGGATCCCAGCTATGGGCAAATTGTTAACACCCTCGACTATGAAAGTGTAAAAATAGGTCTTAATACCAGCAATGCATTTTGGAAAAAATTATTACCAGCAATACGCTTTGAAAAAAAACAAAAAAAAACAGCAATGCATTTTTGAAGAAAAAAAATTATTAACGGCAATACATTATTATCAGCGATACATTTATGAAAAAAAAACATATTCCCAGCAATAAAAATCTTGTCGGCAATAAATAACACATTGCGGTTGATATGCCGTAAAAGAAAACAAACCTACTGGGACTGCTGCTGATTATTATGCATGACTGAACTGACTGTAGTAGCTTTTCGCGTTTGTTATAGTTGTTGCTAATCGAATTTTTCATGCTTCTACGACAGTTTTCATGTAGTTTGAGGCCATTTTGTACTGGCCAGAGTGAGAGCCTATGGCTGGCTGCCACGAATAGACAGGAAGATTCTATTGGCCAGCGTGAGATCCAACAGCTGACTGACACGAATGTTAACTAGCATGCTAGCATGCAAAAAAATCGGCAGCTGCATTCGTCACAAGTGGGAAAAATTTAAATCTGCATGGCACTTTACTCCAATTGGTTCATTCGCTTGCTTAAACTCAACGTTGATTCTGATTCCTGGGTTGGGTGTGAAAAAGTATTTGTTGTTAACATTCTTTTTTCATTCGGTTTTCCAGTTACGAGTCCTTTTTTTAAAGCAGATCGTTTTGTGTTCATTTTGTTTAGTTCTTTTTTCGTAACAGATTTAATGTTTAGTATAGAGCTTAGAAAAAATTCGCAATGTGAGATAGGCAAGAAGTAAGGCATATAGCAACATCAGAACGGCAAAGGGCACTCCTTTAAAAGGCAAGGAAGGGCAAAAAATATTTTAAGTCCATTGATAGCTATTGCTGTATGAGTCGTACGATTTTTTGAATCACGGGCAACCCTGGGTTATACTGCTGTATATATATATATATATATATATATATATATATATATATATATATATATATATATGGATTTAATGATATTTACTTTTTTCATGTTCAGATATACAATTAAATAACTGACGTGTCCCGTGGGAAAGATTTAATCTCAAACTGGAAATAAGTTATTGTAAAGTGATTGAGAAATTGAGAAATGCCAAACGCCGGGCCATGCTGCTAGTTTATATATAAAACAAAGTTCAAATGACTGTTTAAGACATTAGGGGTCGATTTGAAACTGGCTATTATGAATAGGGTCCCACTTCTTTCATAATGTTTTAAAAAAATAAATGCCGTCTGCAGATGAAGGCTAACAAATGCTTATCTACGAAAAATATGTTTTCTTCTTTTATTTTTAAAAAGCAAACCAGTTAAATTTGATAATACCAACAAAGTTTTGTTTTTTTTTTATCTCGGAATTTTGGAATTCACCAGGAAAAGAGGAGCACACATCAGCTGAAAGTCATGGGAGATGAATAAAATGGTTCAAATATTTCATCAAATATAAGTCTCCATTTAATCTAGTTTCAGCTTTTGATTGGGCCTTCATCAGAATAGGTAGGGAGGATTAGATTTGATAAGCAACAATAAACTACAGAAGAACTCAAAACTGATCTCGGCATTTAAGTATTGCATTAATATTTAAGCTTACCTTTTAAAAGCGTAACGATAATTCTTCTCTCACCCCTTAATCTAAAGACAATGTGATGTACGTAGGTCCTTACTTTACAAAAAATCTTCGGAAAAATCCCATAAAAATTGCCGAAAAACATAGCAGTAATGAAAAAATGGGAATCCAAAAATTTCAGGATTGCCTGTCTGGATCCAGCCCGGAAAGTTTTTAATTTGCTTACGGAGTCGGCCTGATTCTACGGCCTCTAGAAGTAAAGTTGAAAACAATATTATTTTGAAACAATGTAATTTGAGGACAGTATTTTTTTCATTTGAACATGAGCTATCGGAAGTTAGAAAGTTGTGTGCCTTTAATTGCTTTAGAAGCCAAAATGGCGGAATCCGCTAACAATCGCAGTAATTAAAACATGAGAATCCAAAATTTCAGGACTATGCGTGTGGATCCAGTCAAGAATGCTTTTAATTTGCTCACAGAGTCGGCCTGA